TGAGCAGTACTTCACGCGGGTAGATGCCATCGTCGTGTAGACACATAGTCTGACCTCCAACGATAAACGTCGTTTCTGGCGTTTGTCACACTGGCATTCGCTAGACGGGACCTTAGCCAACGATCAGACTGTAGAAAATACATAGAGGGTGCTGCCCGCTGAGCAGAGATCTGTACGGTAGTCCCTCCACGAGGTGTCTGAGAACTCATGTGGATAAAACCGCAGATGTGCAGTCAAGATCTATCAGCCAAGCGTCACAGTTCACCGTCAAAGGCATCTCAGTACTGTATAGAAGATAACACAACGATTTTTATCGGTCCTGGCTGTCAACTCTACACACAACACTGACTAGACAGCTAAAGGTGAACTTGTTTCTGCGACTACGCTATTGAGGTAATACGGTGAAAAGAAAAAAAAAGCAAGACTGACCTGCAGTAAACGTCTGCACTTGTTCACACTTGCAGGCGGGGTGATATCGGCGCCATCAGCGAGCCTTTTCAAGTCGGCATCGATGGATTCCTGCTTCAATTGATGCCATTCCAGAAAGAGGTAGGCTATCGGGTTGAGGATGATCAACTGAGCCGGGGCAAACAAGTACACGTAGATGGCCAATTCCGGATACAGGGCTTTTACTGACGAAGGGAGAATGGACAAGCGAATGAAATGGTTAAACAGCCAGAAGATATGAATCGAGTAGCGCTACTGTAGGAAAGTCAGCATACACATTCGACTCTCTGGAAGCCCGTAAGAAATGAGTTGGATGCCTGATCAATACGAAATTCACATGCCAACTGGATTAATTAGGCTTGATGAACGAAAAATGAGGGGTAAAACGAAAAAGTCAGGATAATTTGTGAGATAGACAACGATCGATTGCTGGATGGATAAAGTGATTGAATTAACAACGAGGCGACTGTTGTCGTATGAATCTGTCGGTCGGAGGGATAGATGAAGCGACTGAAAGTGTTGCTTGTGAACACAGAATCGCGTTACGTAATCTGATGAAAACGGAATCACTTGTTACCAGTGTTTACATTCCCCAAAGGTCTTAACAAATAAGTCGTTCAGCTGTAGCACCCTTTCAGTGCCTAGCTGCCATGCCACCCAAAGGAAGCGCGCGGGCTGGGATATGGCCAGGATACGGCTTAAGCCTAGACAGGGGAAGTCGAGAGGCGGAGGTCGGATTCGAACCACGGGCCTTCCGATCAGTAAATTAGCGCTCTAACCACCGAGTCATCTCGCCCCAAAGATATTGGATGGCTGAGTATGGTTTTGAAAGCCATGTTCGCATACACATGGTGCTGGAATAGTCTTTGTGCCGTTTTTCCCGAGGCACACTGGAAAGCGCTTGGGAACTCCTTCGGAAGATCACCGTATTTTGCGAAAAAACAACTGTTAGAGACAAACACGCAACGCCGAATTAGTCCTTGGATTAGATTCAGAAAAAAAACTACAGATTTCAGGCTCAAACATCTGCCGAAATCTGTTATGGGCTGCGCTGTCTCCTCCGAAGGGTAGCCGAACGAAGGAAAATCAGTTTTACAAACCTGGTCTGTCAGTAAGTAGATATAATTCTTCTCTCCTGGAAGTGCTGTCTCGCTCTCCATCGTGGTATGGCAGACTACGTTTCGCGCTCAAACTGAAGATAACCGTTACTAGGTTACTTCTCTCTCCTTTAAAATCACCGTATTGGCCCGTCTGCACACAGTTATGGTAAAGTGACCTCTGATTAGCCGAGTGGAAGCCAACATTTTTGATGAGTGACCCTTGCTAACATCATCAGTTGTAAAAATCGTGGACTTGTCGTTACCGCCTCACTCCTGATGTGGTTGTGCACAGCAGTGCTCTCTGGTTTTCAGAGTTTTTTTCCGACCGTACTGAGTAATGCCCTGGACGATTGAAATGTGCGGTTTTTGAAGCCGACATTTTCTTACCCGTCCTTCTTCGGGGGAAGCCAACATCACTAGTTCCATGAATACGGGCATGCCGGTCGCCTGGGGCTTACTGCCTTCACACTCCTGTCGCAGAGGACAGTACGACTTTGTCTCCAGACCGCTCCGTAGCATGATTACTCGCGGTACGGGATCATGCTGCTCTTAGTCTGACTGTTCCTATTTGGCCCTCCTGGCCTGGTTGCATCTTGTAGAACGAAGTTCTTACCAGGGTAGCCCGCGAGATCATTGCAACACTCAAGCCCGATCACCACATCAAAGTGGCAGATTTAGGTCGGTAGTGACCTTTGTTCAGTAGAGCTGCGGAACACGAAATGGTTGATTTGGCTGCGTACCTTGACCTGTTACCCAGGTGAGTGCTCGCCCCTTGAGAGAATACTGCAGAAAAGTGGCTGATAAATCAAAGACTAGGCGTTTCATCGCGCAGTCAAGAGATTTTTTTACTGTGATTGACTGTAAGACCAAAAAAGTAAATGCGGTTGTCCCTCCTTGAAGAGGCCACTTGGAGGATCAAAATAGTCCCTTCTGAGAGTGACTCGTTCGCTGACATCCTCATCAATGAGGAACGAGTAGCGGTTTCTTCTGAGAGACAACTGCACTTGTAATACATTTTCCGTTACAGCTGTCTACACATAAGATATGGCGAGATGGGCTTTTAGCAACATAAAGTGACATGGCGACAGTAGCGCGAACGACCTCAGCTGTACGAAAACTGGCCCATGGTGGGGTATTATCGCCAGAGCTTCCACAGGTGAAGTTCAGCTGTAGCACCTTTTCGGTGCCTAGCTGCCATGCCACACGAAGGGCATGCACAAGGGCTGGGATACTGCCAGGTTGCCCAAGCCTAGACAGGGGAAGTCGAGAGGTAGAGGTCGGGTTCGAACCACGGACCTTGCGGTCAGTAAATTCGCGCTCTAACCACTTGGTCCATCTCGCCCCCACAGATGAAGTATAAATAAGAACAAATTCTAGTTCAGAGATGCTACAAGCAAAATGTATCAAGATAGAGCCTGGTAGTGCAGTGCTAGGAAGTGTCGCGGCCAATCCGATGTTCAGCTGAGAAACAGGATCCAGAAAAAACGTGCGACGAGCAGTCGAAGTACGGCCCAATCTGGCAGTAGCCAGCCATAGTAACAGTGAATGCTACGTGGGCTGGAATGACGTCTGAATTCAATGAACAGCTGAGCCAAACAGGCAATTCTAATGATAAAAATGCCTAGAAAAGGTACAATTCCTAGTCCGATATAGAAAAGAAGATCCAGATACTGATGAAGGGTTAGAATAGATTGTCCGTCTGAAGGCCTGATAGCAGATGTGTAGTCTAAGGATACTGAAGCTACTGACCAAAAGGTCACGTGACCCAGCCTCCTTACACGTGCAGGACTCGTCTTATTGGGTACGAATTACCGTTTCTCGGAGGGATCTAGACAAGTCCTACTTAGTAAGCCTTAACGGGGTGGGATGGCTCAAGTGGTTAGGGCGCGAATTTACTGACCGCAAGGTCCGCGGTTCGAACCCGACTTCTGCCTCTCGACTTCCTCTGTCCAGGCTTGGGCAACCTGACAGTACTTGATACCTCGTGCTTCCTTCAGGTGGCATGGCAGCTACACACCGGGTGTTACAGCTGGGCGATTTATTTCTTATTAAGCCCTAACCTGACTATGGGTTTGTAAAGCTGTGATCAGGTTTAGGTGGAACAAAAGACAATTGTGACTAAAGTACTCACACACGGGGTATCCCAGGGCGACATCGTTTGATTGGGAGACAAACATGGACAAAATGGCAGCCATACCAAACGGGGATGTGCGGTTGAGTAGCAGCGTGGTCGCGAATGCCAGAAAAAAGACCGCCGCTTTGCCCAAAGATATGGCACCGACGAGCGCCCACGACACACCGGTGAGGTCCACAGTGACCATCCCCTGAGTCAGAACAAAAAAAAGAGAAGAAAAATGAATTCGGTCTTCGCAGGGAGTATGGGAATGCATGTGACAGACATTAGCTCAGCTGCCCTGTACAGACTCTATTAGTGCGAGTCATCACGTGCCCCAAATAGATGATCCCGAAATCGTCTGGCCTATCCCGTCACGAAGAGACTCGACTTTACCGTGGTGTGACGGTTTGTGTACCTCAGCCACCCATTGAGCTATACTTTGGGAGTGTCCGCACGAAACCTTCAGAGTCCCTCCTACCAGATTGGTCTGACGAACACAGTCTCCTGGTACTCCGAGCCGGGGGTTAGAACATCTGTAAAAATTGAAATGCACCTTCATTTTCCGCCAGACAGCGCTCGCTTGCGGTCAGAAGCCAAAGACTCTGGTCGAAGACCCTAATCGTCACCCTGTCTACGTCTGGGTACCCAGGCCACATTCAAGTACAACAGCGAAGCATCAATGTTGAACACTGATGCCATGATGCCGACGATGATGACCAGTCCATCATGAGGTTCCTCAACACGGCCACGATCTGCAAGACAAAAGGATAAACTTTCAAGCAACAAAGAGTTTCTCACTGCCGCTGTCCTCACATTCACATATGGCATTACAGCTGATCCCTTCAGTTATTCAGCTGAAGTGCCTTCATCGAAACGAAACACGTCTGAAGCGGAAGTTGTCCAATCGATGTTTATTATACACGGTGCTTTTTTGGAAACTGGAGGTCATTACCAAAAACTCTGAGAAAACTGAGCACTGACCGGTACCAGGCGTGGCCCAATCGATGTTTATTTTACACGGTGCTTTTTTGGAAACTGGAGGTCATTACCAAAAACTCTGAGAAAACTGAGCACTGACCGGTACCAGGCTGGCGTGGCCCAGTAAAACCAGGTCTGGTGTTGCATGAGACCCATCATGTTCCTTGGGGTCTTCCGTGTCTAATTTGGAGTCCGAAAGATCAGAATGGAATGAGAAATGCTGTGAAGAGCATCAGTATCTGTGGTACTGTTAGATTTCTAGAATGGCATGGATGTATGGCAGTGAACCACTAGTGCCCTTCACTTCTGTTGCTAACAACAAAGACAGTGATTCGAAGACATTAATTAAGAGATTTTGACCTCACTGAACAGTCTCCTCGTGCTCATCGGTTACGGAGTTTCAATGCTCACACGTTCACCTCCCGTTCTGAGACAGAAGGCTACTGATTTTTTTCACACCAGTTTATCTAAACCACTTCAGAAAAAAAGACTATCACCCCTCCCCATGGACAACTCAAAATAATGAAAAAAATCGGTTGTCATACACGTGGAACCCACCTTGAAGAACACGGCAGGCAGGGCAAATTTGGTAACATAGGAGTTCAGACCACGGATTTCGGCTTCACGCAGTAGTTTGTATCTGCCAGCGAGATATCCCAGCAGGATCACTCCGAAACATTGTATGAGGGCGGGGATGAGTTCATCGATTGCGTCAGTCATGGCGTAGTCACCCATTACAAGGTTGTCTGTGATTCAACAGAGCAAATAGAGCAGTGTATGAATTTCACATCAATTTGTATTGCCTTCGAACAAGAAAAATACCTGGCACATGAGCTCACCGGTCGATGACAAGGATGTTCAGATGTGATCCTCATTAAAGGGAAATTATACATCAGGAAGATGTGCGATATCCACTGATTCTCATACGGGATCGCCATCGCGCACAGCGGATCGTTGTCTCAGAGTTCGCAGGTATGAATAGCGTGAGCAAAAAGGCGGATGCAGGAGGCCACGTGCAGTGTGTCAATTCCCTAGTTGCCGGACTGTCATCATCATCATCAACGACAGCATGACATCAGTATTCAACACCAATGCTTCACTGCCGTACAACCATGACTTATTTGAAAGCCTTATTGTAAAGAAAAGATTAAAGGTGGATGGGGGAGGGACTTAGTGCTAGCTTAACACAATCATTCCGAGGTGCCTACACCTCCAAACATTCATTCAGGCAATCTGGACAGAAACTGACAACAAGAACACCACTGACATCGGTTGGTAGCCATATCTTGTAGTGTCTCCAACCAGGCACAGTGAGGATCACGCGGTTCCCATCCTGGAAGGCGAGTAGCACCGACAGCACCCAAGCGTTTCGTGATCTCCTTCATACCCCTCTGCCA